TCCTTTATCAGTGCAACCAGGTTTTTGACAGATTCTCTTGGATTTTCAAGGTATAGGATCATATCATCAGCAAAGAGGGATAACCTGATTTCCTCTTTTCCTATTTGGATACCCCAGGTTTCCTTCATTTCCTGAGTTAGGACTTCCAACACAATGTTGAACAAGAGGAGTGAGAGTGGGTGCTTTGTTTTGTTCCAGTTTTTAGGGGAAATGTTTCCAGTTTCCGTCCTTTAGCAATATGTTAGCTGTGGGTTTATTGTAGATGGCACTTCTTATTTTGAAGTATGATCCTTCTATACCTAGGTGCTTGAGGGTTTTTATCAAGAAGGGATGTTGAATTTTACCAAAAGCTTTTTCTTCATCTAATGATATAATCATGTGCTTCTTGGTTTTACATCTGTTGATGTATTGAATTACATTTATGGTCTTGTGAATGTTGAACCAGCCTTGCATCCTGGGGATGAAGCCTACTGGTCATAGTGGATGATTTTTTTTTTTTTAGTTGGAGTCTCACTCTGGCACCCATACTGGAGTGCAGTGGCCACTCCTGGCCACTGCAGCCTTGACCTGCTGGGCTCCAGAGATCCTTCCACCTCAGCCTTCCAAGTAGCTGGAACTACAGGCATGCGCTACCACGCCCAGCTAATTTTTTGATTTATTGTAGAGATGAGGTCTCGCCAAGTTGCCCAGGAGGATCTCGAACCAGCGGGCTCAGGCAATCCACTCACCTCAGCCTCCCAAAGCACGGGATTACAGGCTGAGCCACCGAGCTCAGCTATGGATGATTTTTGAGATGTGTTTTTGGATCTGATTTGCTAGAATCTTGTAGAGGATTTTTGCATCTATGATCATAAGGGATATTGGCCTATAGTTCTCTTTTTTGCTGGATCTTTACCTGGTTTGGATAGCAGTGCAATGTTAGTTTCGTAAAATGATTTGGGGGAGAATTCCATCTTTCTCAATTACCTGGAATACTTTAGAAAGGATTGGCATCAGCTCCTCCTCCTTGTTCGTTTTGCAGAATTCTGCTGGAAACCATCTGTTCCAGGGCTTTTTTTTGTAGGTAGTTTTCGTATGACGAAGTCAATTTCCTGGTTGTTATTGGTCTATTTAGTGTCTCAATGTCTTCTTGTTTCAACCTGAGGAGGTTGTGTAATGTCAGAAAGTCCTCCACTCCATTTAGGTTAGCAAGTTTGTTTCCATATAGGTGTACATAGTACTCTCTGATAATCTCTTGTATTTCTTTGCGGTCAGCTGTGATTTGATCTTTTGTATTTCTGATTGTGCATATTTGGACTTTTTCTCTCTTTTTCTTGGTCATTCTGGTTAGAGGTCCATCAATCTTGTTAATTCTTTCAGAGAATCAGCTTTTTGTTTTGCTGATGTTTTCTATGATATTTTTGTCTTCTATGTCCCATATTTGGGTTCTTATTTTGGAGATTTGGATTTTTCTGCTAAAGTTGGGGTTTTGGTGGTCTTCTCTTTCCAGCTCCCTTAGGTGATTTGTTAGGATCTTCACTTGTGGTCTTTCCGTTTTCTTGATGTGTACTCATAGAGATATAAATTCCACTCTTAGAACTGATTTCATGGCATCTCAGAGGTTTTGGTAAGATGTTTCTTCATTTTCATTTGCTTTCAGGAATCTTTCAACTTCTGCTTTGATTTCAATGTTGACCTAGTAGTTGTTAAGCATCATGCTGTTTAGTGTCCATGTCTTTGTGGGCTTTGGTGAAATGTTGTTAGTGTTGATATTTATTTTTATTCCACTGTGGTCTGAGAGTGTGCATGGCAAGATTTCAACCTTATGGAATTTGATTATGCTTGATTTATGGCCAAGGATGTGATCGATCTTGGAGTACATTCCATGTGGTGATTTGTAGAATGTATATTCTGTAGTTTTTGGTTAGAATAATCTATTAAGTCCATTTGGTCATGTGTCAAGTTTAGGATCTGGATCTCCTTGTTGATTTTTTGCCTCGATGATTTATCTAGGGCAGTGTATGGGGTATTAAAGTTCCCTGCTATAATAGTGTTAGAGCCGGGCTTTCCCTGCCCACCTTGGCACCCTACTCCCTTTCCGAACCTGGCTGAGGAGGAGGTGCCATCATGGGAGTCAACATCCGCCACAACAAGGACCGAAAGATTTGGCACAAAGAGCCCAAGAGCCAGGACATTTACCTGAGGCTATTGGTCAAGCTGTACAGGTTTCTGGCTAGAAGAACCAACTCCACCTTCAACCAGGTTGTGCTGAAGAGGTTGTTTATGAGTCGCAGCAACTGGCCGCCTCTGTTCCTTTCCCAGATGATCCAGGAAATGAAGATTCCTGGCTGGGAAAACAAGATGGCAGTGGTCGTAGGGACTGTAACAGATGATGTGCAGATTCAGGAGGTGCCCAAACTAAAGGTATGTGCACTGAGTGTGAGCAGCCGGGCCCACAGCCACATCCTCAAGGCAGGGGGCAAGATATTCCGCTTCAACCAGCTGGCACTGGACTCCCCCAAGGGCCATGGCACCATCCTGCTCTCTGGTCCTCGCAAGGGCCGGGAGGTACACAGGCATTTCAGCAAGGCCCCGGGAACTCCGCACAGCCACACCAAACCCTACATCTGCTCCAAGGGCCAGAAGTTTGAGGCTGCCAGAGGCCGGTGGGTTAGCCGTGGCTACAAAAACTAACCCTTGATCCTGTCCTCTTATTAAAAAGTTTTTAGATTCATTAAAAAGAAAAAAAAATAAAGTGTTAGAGCCAACATCTTTTTTTTTAGTTTACTTAGTAGTTGTTTTATAAATGCTGGTGCGCCTGTGTTGGGTGCATATATGTTTAGGATGGATATTTCTTGTTGATGGATTGAAACTTTTATCATTATATAGTGTCCTTTTACATCTCTTTAATTTTTTGATACCTTAAAGGTTGTTTTGTCTGATATTAAGATTGCAACTCCTGCCTCCTTTTGTGATCCATTTGCCTAGACACTCATTTTCCAACCTTTGAGTCTGCGTGCATCCCTTGTAGTGAGATGCATCCCCTGGATGCAGCAAATAATTAGGTTATGCTTTCTTATCCAGTTTGCTATTCTGTGTCTTTTCAGTGGTGCATTTAGTCCATTCACATTCAGGCTGATTATTGAAATGTGATTGTTTATTGCTGTCATGAAGTTCTTATAAAATTTTTTCTTTGTTTGCTTGCTTTTTTTACTTTGGGGTTGATGTATGTGTGTTTTCAAGTTTCTTATTGTGCTGCATTCTGTTGATTCTGTGCTGCTATTCTCTTGGGATGTGTGTGGTCATTCTTTTCTTTCTTTCTTTTGTGCTTAATACCTTTTTAAGTATCTCCTGTAGAGCTGGTCTGGAAACTGCATAATCTCTTAGGGACTGGATGTGTGGGAAGGATTTTAATTCTCCATCACTGATGAAGCTGAGCTTGGCTGGATAGGAAATTCTTGGTTGAAATTTTTTTTCTTTGAGGACTTTGAATATAGGGCTCCAATCCCTTCTTGCTTGTAGTGTTTCTGCCAGTAGGTCTGCTGCTATTCTGATTGGTTTCTCCCGGTAGGTAGTCTGACCTTTCTTTCTTGCTGCCTTTAGGATTTTTTCTTTTGTGCCTACCTTGTGTAGGCAAATTACTATGTGTTTAGGGGTTGGTCTTCTCATTTGATGTCTTGTGGGGGTTCTCTGTATCTCTTGTGCTTGGCTGGTCACATCTCTGATGAGATGGGGAAAGTTTTCTTGGATTACCTTCTCAAATACTTATTCCAAGTTGTTTTCCATTTCTCTTTCTTCCTCTGGTATGCCAATCGAGTGTAGGTTCAGCCTCTTGATATAATTGCACATCTCTTGTAGGCTTTGTTCTTTTTTTCTGAGTCTTCTTTCTATGTATTTTACAGATCAGGTTAATTCCATGTTCTGGTCTTGAAGTTCTGAGATTCTTTTTTTAGTTAGATTAATTCTGCTTTCCATGCTTGTCATCTTGTTATTTATTTCCTGGATGAAATTTTCTATGACCAAAATCTCTGTCACAAGTTCTTTCAGTGTAGCATCTTGTTCTTCTTGAGTCTTATTCACTCTTTCCATCCATTCTCTAATTCCTGTCATATTCTGGGGCCAGTCATTGGTGACTTCCATTGTTTGTGCTTTAAGGTCTGATTTTTCAGGAGTTTTGTCTTTGGTACACTTGAAATTGCCTGTGATCTTCCTTTGGATTTTCCTCATTTGTGACAGGTCTCTTGTTTTTCTCTTTAGTTCTGTTATTCAGTGTCAGTGGGAGAGGTTTCTGATGTTTGCTCAGCCCTCTATTCTTCCCTGATCTGTGCTCTGGACGTGTTCTATTTTGAAATAGGATGGTAGATGGGAAACTTTGTTGTCTCTTGTAGTTTTTGAAATTTGAATAAAGTAGGGGATGGCGTGCTAGGATTCAGAAACCACTTGCAAATTACAATGTTAACTTATTGTGGTATGTGTTCCCTGAGACCCACTCCCCATCATTACTCTATATGATGATGCAAAGCAGAAACCAATGCAAAAAACAATTGAACATACACAGAGAGACATATACACACCCTCCAAAATAAGCTGTAATATTAACAAAGTAAAACAAAACAATGAACAACAACAAAAACCCAGAAAACTAAACACACATACACATGCCTAGCTTAAAGTGAATAGAGAAGAAAAACAGAAAGAGCGGAGGAAAAGAATAAAAAAATGGAATTCAGGTCGACCCCTCACACATATACTGACACACACCTTAAACTATAAAAAATGAAATTAAAAAAACCCAGAAGAACAAAAGAGCAAAAACAAACCAATAACAACAACTAAATTGAAAGATGAACACTCAATCATTCACATACACACATAAACAGAAAAGAACAAATAAAAGAAGAAAGAAACAGAAAAAGAAAAAAATATTTGTGGGGAGCAGATCAAACTCTCACATACACATTCATGCACAAAGGAAAAATATTTAAAAATAGATGAACTAACAAACAAAGAGTCAAAAAATTAAATTTTTTTTTAATTGAAAATTTTTAAAGAAACCTGTCCTCTTATGGCAGGTTCTATAATAATTCCTCTAATTAGGTCTCCTGCAGAGCCACCTCCTTCACTGTCTCCTCAGTGTAGGAAGCAGGGAAGGGGGGTGGGCAGTGGGAGTGGGTGGGGCTGCAGTCCTCCCCTCCCACTCTTGTATGGTCAGGGAGATCTCCTCTGGTGGGGAGGTATGGGATTGTCTCTTCCCCAGGTAAGTACTCATGAGAGGCCCCAGCTAGGCTTATCCTGGAATGGAGTTCTATTCTGATGTCTAGTCTCCGCCTGGGTTTGTCTCTCAGTTGTGGCCCAGCTGTGTGGGTCTGATGTTCAGAGGATTGCTGGGAAAGAGGGGACTTGGGTCAGTCCCAGACTCACCACTGATCTCTTTGGAGTTCTTCCTCGCCCTTTTCTGGCCACACTCTTTGTCCTGCAGCTGGATCAGGGTGGGGGATGGGGAGCCTGGAACTCAGCACTTGTCAGGTCCCTCCAAAGTTTGTACAGGATATTCCCTCTGGGTCACAATCAATCCCTGCGTAGTTGATCCACCAGACACAGAGATCAGATCTGTTGCTCTGTGGTGAGCGAGTTGGAGCACTTTCCTGCCCCACCTTCAAGATGGGGTGCCTCTTTTGTCCTCTTCTGTGGGACTTTGCCTCTGGACTCACTCTATAGCCCCTGCTGCCAGTGCCCTGTCAGGTACTGAAGTGGTGAGTCAAAGCCAGGAGCAGGCAGCCTCTCTCCTGCTGCACTGGTGAGAGAGCGCCTGGGGTGATATTTTCTCCCTGCTGCTTTTGTCTGTTTCAAAAAAATGGCACTGGACTTCTGTGACCTGGGAAGAGCCAGAGACGAAGAAGAGAAGTTGCAGCATCAGCTGTTGCACAAGGGGCCTAGCCACTTGCTTGCAAGCTCCCAGTTAGTCAGTCTCTCCCAGCATTTTCTTCCCAGGAGGGTTTGTTGATTAAAAAAAAAGAAAGAAAATAAAAGAAAAAGAAAATAGTGCTTGGCTTCTGCATCCCGGGATGCGCTAGGGTTCAAGCCCAGCAGCTGTGGTTCCAGCCACTGCACCAGCAGAGCCCTGGCTGCCAGCTCCCTAGCCCTCATTCAGTCAGCCACTCTCATACCCACTCGCTCACCAGCATGTACACAAAATTTTCCATACACTCACTCACTCACACTGGGACTCACATAGTCCAACTGGCTTGGTTGCCTCTTCCCAATAGGCATTTTAAAAAGAATGGACCACAGGACAGTAAAGGAAGCAGGGAGACAAGTTGGGATGCTCTGGTCAAATTGGGACTGAAGACAGTTGTGCTATGAACCTGGAGATTGTGAGATCTGACTAGATTTAAGTCATATTTCAGAGTAAGGACTAGGACTTGCTTCTGGATTGGAGGTGAGCTATAAGATGAAAGAGAGGGATCTAGGATGGCTCATGTGAGAAGTATAATTCTGCTCATACTATCAGGTCTCCTGGCTGTTCGAGTTGTTTGTGGTAGAAAGAGCTGGGAGCAGGACACCTGTGCTTGAGTCCTGAATCTGGTACTATTAATTCATGTGAAAGATGATAATAATAATAATAACAACAATAACACTCATTATAACTGCCAATTATTGAGTCTTGTTTATATACTAGGCGTGTGTTTTACATAAAATATTCCACTTGCTGGGCTTGGTGGCTCAGCCTGTAATCCCAGCACTTTGGGAGGTCAAGGTGAATGGATTGCCTGAGGCCACGGGTTCAAGAGCAGCCCAGGCAACTTGGCGAGACCTTGTTTCTACAATAAAATAATAATAAAAAAAATTAGCTGGGCATGTAGCATGCACCTATAGTTCCAGTTACTTGGAAGGCTGAGGTGAAAGGATCACTGGAGCCCAGAAGATTGACGCTGGGGTGGCCGTGAGCGTGCCACTGCACTCCAGTCTGAGCGACAGAGTGAGACCCCAACTCAAGTAAAAAAAAAAAAATTCCAGTTCGTTTTTGAACAACTCTTCCCCATTTTATAGATGATGACACAAACCCAGAAATGCAGAATGAGCTTTCCATGGTCACACAGTTAGTTAAGCCCATAGATCTTAACCACTATGCGGTACTGCAGTTCAAAACACACTCTCACATTTTATGTCATTTAATTTTCAAGGAGTAGGCTCTCATTCCCAGTGATTCCTCTCCTAATACTGTGATATAAGGAAGAATAAAATTATTTCTGTCTTAAAGATAAGGAAGGTGAAGCTTGGAAGTTAAATGTGTTTCCAAGTTCACATAGGTAGTGAAAAGCTGGAAATCATACCAAACTCTTCTGGTCTCTAGTTCATGACCCCTATAGCAGATGAGTCAGTTGACTAAGTTAGACTTCAGGTTCTTGATAAGTAAATCAAGCAAGGATGGACAAAAGATTTCTATTACATGATCTGCCTTTCTAATGGCTGTTAAGTACCTCTCTATCATCTGCATGTTGAACCACTAATGCTGAGCTTGCTAAGAATTTTCTTCCTATATCCACACATTACTTTTAAGCATTACTTCACTACACATTTATCCCAGAAAAATTTGGCTGATTATTGTAGCAGTTTTCTGGAAATGACATCAGGGAAGATAACAAACATTTGTGTAGTGACATTCATTTACATTTCTTTTGCATTGTTTACAGCATTCAATAGTGATGTCCCCATCATAAAATCTCATAAAATAATTTATTCAAGTAAAATATATGAAATGAAGTGATTAAAAGTATAAAAAAAGAAGTCTGGTGCATAGATATGTAACTATAACTACACTAACTTAATTTTATTTCCACTTTTTAAAATGACTTGCTTTGGTATCATATATGTATTTGTATGTGTGTAAATGTATGCATATGAAATATATATATTTAGGGAATTTGAAAACAGCTTTAAAGACAATAAAATCATTGCAGATTTTAGACACAAATGAAATGGTTAGAATTGTCACTTAGGATGATTACTCTAAGGGAGTATGCAAGTTGATCGAATGAGACAGAAATTTGAACTTGGAAGATAGAAGTTATAAACTGTTCTCAGTAAGGTATATGGGAGCTTGAACTACAATCAGAACTCCCACTACAAGAAACTATAAGGAGGGTAGAAACATAAGATTACACTGACAAATATATGTGTGAGTGCACACATGCACACACACACATGCAAACACACACACACAGCTGTAGTGTAGGAAGTCATTGAAATATTGTGATACATTTTAATTAATATAAGCAAAATAGATAATTCAGAAACTCTGGATATTTAATAAACTTCTTTTGAACCTGTCTAATGAAACATTCGTGATCACATTTAATCTCGTGTAATTTAATTTAGAGACATTTAGTTGTCTGAAAAATTGGCTCAAATTTTCATTTCATTTGCATGTTTATACACTCTCAAAGTACATTAAATGCCATTATTTGGAGGGAGTATATATGTGAGTTAATCTATGAATGAGAGGGAGGGAGATGGAAGAGAGAAGGAAAGAGAGAAGAGCCGTTTTTTCATCTGAGTGTGTTGGAGTTCTCTAGCTTTGAGCAGAGTTTTTCTCCTCCTGTCATGTGTCTAACCAAATGATTGTTGCCTTCAACCAGGTTAAAAGTTTTTTATTCAATCTACATCTAGGCAATTAAAAATTGTTTTGTATGTGGTGGAGGAATGAAAAGAAATGAAACATTTTAAAAATGTGAGTGATAAATAGACTTGTTTGAAGCATTGTGGAAACTCTCTGGGGGTGAGTAGATCATCTACTATTTTAATTGTTCCTATTGATGTGTTCTGTGTAAAGGTTCAGTATGTTCCAACATTTAAAAAAAAATGGTTACTTACAAGCTGGATTTACCAGTGTTTCAGCCACTCCAAGTAAAACGTACTGAAGAACCAGGTGAAAACAGGGCATTGAGGAAACAGTGAGCACTTTGCCTGAAAGAGGTTGTTCCACTGGAGGGAAGTGTTTTCTGCTTATTTCAAAGAAACCAGCTACTATCACAGAGGATACAGCAAAAAGATTTCCAGCAACTGAAGGAAAATAATGCAAAAGAAAAATAAAATTTAAAAAAGAGCTAGAAATTAGTGTAATAGAACATAGCATTTCTTACACATTGATATTGGGTGATGTTTCCTCAACATTTTTTGCCCCAGGAATATCCAGATGCCAGTTAACTGTGTTGTGTGGCCATCCAGAGCATAAGCTCCAACCTCAGAAAGGACTGAGTTGACTTCCTATTGCCTGACTTACTGATTATATGACTTCAGGCCAGTAACTTAAGCTCATTATCACTTTCCTCAGCTCTATGATGGGGCTCACGATGCTTAACATTGTGAGATTTAAAGAAAACATATAAGACTGCTGATATCTGCCAGGGATACCAGGACCCACCAAGGATACCAAAACTCAGAATGCTCAAGTTCCTTATATAAAATGGTGTAGTATTTGGATATAAACGACGCACATCTTTTTATATTCTTTAAGTCACCTCTAGGTTGCTTGGAATTCCTAATATAAATGTTATGTAAATAGTTGTTGTACTGTATTGCTTGGGAGATAATTACAAGAAAAAAGGCTGTACATCTTCAGTATAGATGCAACCATTCATTTTTATTTTCCTGAATACTTTTGAGTCAATGTTGGTTGAATCTGCAGATACAGAACAGTTGGATTAGCAATTATTATTATTTTTTTGAGTTGGAGTCTCACTCTGTTGCCCAGACTGGAGTGCAGTGGCCGCTCCCGGCCACCGCAGCCTCGACCTGCTGGGCTCTGGCGATCCTTCCGCCTCAGCCTTCCAAGTAGCCGGAATTACAGGCATGTGCTACCACGCCCGGTTGATTTTTTGATTTATTGTAGAGATGAGGTCTCGCTGCCCAGGTGGGTCTCGAACCCACGGGCTCAGGCAATCCGTTCACCTCAGCCTCCCAAAGGTGTGGGATTACAGGCTGAGCCACCAAGCCCAGCAGGATTAGCAATTATTATTGAAGATAAAGCAACGGTTTAAACTTTGATCCCCAAATAAGATATCCCATTCTACATACCCCCCCCCCTTTTTTTTAAAAGAGATATATATGAATCAAAAATATTTTGGAGAAATTAAAAATAAAATTATCTTCTTCATATAGTTTTAAATTACTATTTTAGACATGGTTTTAAAATAACCTTAAAGCATTATTGGTCTTCAGTTTTCTGTCATTTCTTTAATCTTCACAGAAAAGTAAGACATCTGTTAGAAAATTAAGGATGAGAAACTTTTGTTTAAGAAAATATGTCTTATACACTATGGAATATTATGCAGCCATAAAGAAGGGCAAACATATGGACAGTACAGTAGCTTGGATGGATTTAGAGTCTCTCGTACTCAGGAATCTATCACAGAAGCAAAGAACAGAGTACCATATGTTCTCACTCATATGTGGACCTTGAACGATTATCACAAGGAATTGGCAGTAGTGGGAAAACTGCCAGGGGAGAGGGGGTGGGACTGGCAGTTGAAGGAAACTGCCGGCGAGGGAAGGGCACACCTCATCAACAAGGGTACCTGAGTAATCAATATTTGTATACCTAACCCCGAATTGTACCCCACATATTTAAAATAAAAAAAGAAAATATGTCTGAAAGAGGTAAATTAGCTAGGTTAGGGGTAAAAATGCAAACAATTATTCTGATAGTGGTCAAGCTCTTCTCTTCCTTTACTTTTAAGGAATTATCTAGGAAATTTTGGTTGAAAACAAATAGGGATTTCATTACAGAGTCTATGTCTACCCCAACCATTCCATTTCTTAATTTATCATTCATATTATTGGGCTTGTTCCTATCGTTAGGGCAGAGGCAAACTTTAGCTTGATGGAATTTACTTGAAATTTAGAGATAGTCACATTTTGCTAACTTGCATATAATTTTAGATAAGGCAAAACTTTCAATTCAGAAAAATCAATCTAATGTTTAAATAGTTTATTGTTTATTTTGGTTGATAGAGAAACTGGTAGGTAAAGTTTTTGATTATAGTTTAGCATTTAAATGTATTCATACAGACTGCTCTTTAGTGGGTCCCCAAGACATGGAAGGTGCAAAAAAATGAAAAAATATGAATAACAGTTCACAAATTTGAGAAATTTTTATTACTCTTTAAAATTAAGTTCTATAAAAGTCTATCCATAGTGAAGTAGAGATTTTGGTTATAAAAATAGCTCATATAAAAATTAATTTCCCATATTATCTGCCTTTATGATAAAACTTATTACATAATCACATTTATCTAAATTATTTGGCATGTTATAAACTCATCAGAATGAATATCAATATTTCAATTCAATTTAATATTTACCCCGTTCCTCCTATTCAAGGTAGTATGCTAAATGCAGTGGGAGATAAAAGACCTTTAAAAAAATCTGTTATTTGCCATTACAGACTCACTTGCTATTGGAAAATATAAGAAGAATAATCAAGGGAGAAGGCAGATTGGGGTCAGGTTATAATAGGCATTTAATACACTTTTAAGGAATTAGAAAATTATTTTGAAGATAACAGAATCATTGAAGATTTTAGTTAGACACAAGTGAAGTGATTACAATCCTCATTTAGGATGATTATTTTAAAGGTCATGTGCTGGTTGAAAATGGGAAAGACTGGAGATAGGAAAATAGAAAGTTATAAAAATAATTCTGGTAAAGTATAATGGGGGCTTAAGCTGCAATTAGGCAGAAACATAAGATGCAATCATGTCCACTGATAAAACCACAGCAACAAAAGCAAGAGCAAGGAGGAAGCAAATGCTAGTGATAATATGAGTCCAGGTGACTGGAAAGATGGTGCTGATAATGTAATAAGACCCACAGTAGATGTGAAGAGCACAAATTTAATTTTGAGTTGAGTTGGAGGTACAAAGAGGTCATCTAAAGAGAAGTGCTCAGAAAACAATTGCAAATGTGAGTCATAGCTCAGGAGAATTTTTAAATCAAGAGAGAAAGAATAATGAATCATCTGCTTAGAGTCAGAGTTTAGGGTCAAGTGAAATTGTTAGAAGATTGGGGAGGGAGAGAAGGGGATGTCTAAGCAATGACTTCAAGCATGTATTTGGGGCAAGTAGAAAAGGAAAAGTGTCTAAGGAAAGATTTCAAAGAGGAGGATGTACAAAACAGAATTTTTGATCTTTTCCTCTAATTCATCTCCTTCACTCTTCTGATCTCCTCCAAATCTGAGGTCTCCTTTCCCCCCACCGCCTACAAATACATCTTTACTTTCTGTAGATTCTATTTCCAAAATGGAGTTGACCCTTGACAGCATGGATTTGAGCTGTGCAGGTCAACATACAGGGATTCTCTTCCACTTCTGCCACCCGTGAAACAGTAAGATCAATTTCTCCCTTGTCTTCTCCTCTCAGCCTGCTCATTGTGAAAACAATGTGGATGAAGACCTTTATGATGGTCTACTTCCACTTAATGAATAGTAAATATATTTTCTCTTCTTTATGATTTTCTTGATAACTCTTTCCTCTAGATTACTTTATTGTAAGAATACAGTATATTATACACATAACATGTAAAGTATATGTTAATCAAAATGTGTTATTAGTAAGGCTTCCAATAAGCAGTAGGCTATTAGTAGTTAAATTTTGGGGGAGTCAAAAGTATATGCAAATTTTTTGACTGTGCTGGGATTGGTGTGCTAATCCCTACGTTATTCAAGTGTCAACTGTATACTATAAGTCAATGTGCTTCTATCCATAGCCACTGCCATCATTCTAAGACATTCTCATTTTTACTCAAACTATGTACAACAGTGTATTAGCTGGTTTTTCTGTTTCCATTCTCATCCACCTCTAACCTATTAAGCACTCAGCAGTCAGAGTGATCTTATGTAAATGTAAATTGAATGTTACTCTTCAGCTTATTCCTACTATGAGTTTCCATACACTTAAGAGGTCTTGCCTGTGCTTGTTACTTCACTCTAATTGCCTGCTACTTTCTTCTCTCTGACCATGTTTCAGTCACATTGATCTTCTTTGTCTCTCTTGAATATCTTAAGCTCTTTCCCACCTTAGGGATTGTGATGTGCTCTTTCTTTGGTCTGAAACATTGTCCCCTACTCTTTACCTGCCTAACACCTTGTCTTTCAGAAATGCACACTGTAATCTAAATTAGGTCCGGCCTGTTATTTTTCCCATAACATCAATGTTTTACTATATTTATTACAATTTGAAATAAAATATTTTCAGTGTGTTCATTTGCACCATATATGTTTCAGTTACATACTTGAGAGCTTTATAAGAATTGGAGTCAAGTTTGTTTACCACTCTTTACTACAAAGAAAAGTGCCCAGGTTCACAGTAAGCAACACACACACACACACACACACACACACACACACACACACACACACATAAATGACCATAGAGTTGAATATTTTAAGAGGATAATGAAACGTGTAACAAGTCAACTGTATTGATGAGTGAATTATCAGTTACCTTTTACTTTTGTTTTTTGAGTTGGAGTCTCACTCTGTCGCCTAGACTGGAGTGCAGTGGCCGCTCCCGGCCACCGCAGCCTTGACCTGCTGGGCTCCGGTGATCCTTCCGCCTCAGCCTTCCAAGTAGCCGGAATTACAGGCATGCACTACCACGCCCGGCTGATTTTTTAAAAATTTATTGTAGAGATGAGGTCTTGCTGCCCAGGCGGGTCTCGAGCCCACAGGCTCAGGCAATCCACTCACCTCAGCCTCCCAAAGGCACGGGATTACAGGCTGGCCCACCGAGCCTGGCTACCTTTTACTTTTTACACTCAATGGAACTCCCAAGTTGAAATCAGAAAACAAGAAGGTGAGGCATGAGCAGGTGGTGAGTATGTTTAACTAGTATCATCTAATTTTCTAAGAAGTTTGGTGTGTGGGGAAGGAGAAAGCCAAAGGTTTCTTTAGAAATCAGCAGGATCACAGGAAGCCGTTTTATAAGACGTGAAAGGTTTAGTCTTGTTGGTATGCAGAAAAGAGGAGCAAGTGGAGACGGAAATAATTAAAGAAGTAAGAGCAA